AATGTTTCACTGTTGAACTGACAGGTGACAATGTCAGCATCCAACTTTTGGGTGGGAGACTTTGAGAAAATTAACTTCTTACAGTCTCCACTTCCCCAGCTGTAAAATGGGATTATAATAATAGCACTTTCCTTTAGAGTCTCTGTGAAGAGTAAATGTGCTGATCCATAAGATTAACACTGCGCCTGAATCATAGAAAGAGTTTAATAAATAGCAACTGTAAATGTATTAGGCCCATATTTCCTGAACCAGCCTTCAGAATAAGGGGTGTGAAAGATAGTGCTATACTTACTGGGAGATTGGAATTGAATATCTCAAATACACTATTTTAGAAATTTCTGAGCCTGGGGCATAGACATGGGAACTACTTGCAATTATTTTGCCCTAAAATCCAATTGTCTTCACTTAGGATCTTGGAGCTCAGAGATCTGCCAGAGGGGTTGGGGGAAGGGGACCAAGTTGTACCTGGCAAATGTGTTCCATACTGGCTGGCCCAGGAGGCCCAGTCACTGAAAGTGTTTACAAAAAGAACATTCTCTGCTCTGCCCTCTCCTTCCTCAGCCATCTTCAACTGCTCCCCCTGTGCCCCCTCTGGAAGCTGGCTCTGATTTGCTGCAGTAAATGATCAAAAAAGTGGGGGAGGCGGGAGGGGTCCCTGGCCCTCCCCCACCCCAGGCATTCTGTTGGTTCACAGGAGGATCCAGGCGATGTTATTCCATCAACCACTCCCAACCCGGGGGCCAGTGGGTGTTAAAGACCCCTGCTGACAGGGACAGCTGTGAGGCCACTGTTGTTTTCTCCCAAACTGTCCTTGCTACTGTGGTCGTCTTTTATTTATGGGGATGAGGGATTTCGCAGCGATTTCCTGATGGGGTTCAAGGGAAGGTTGAGTGTGATCAGCCTGGCTGCAGGCGAAGCAGCTCGGCGCCTGCCGCGCTGCGCTGTGGCCACTACTGTAGGCTCTCTTCCCCTCGCGCTCCGCGCTGTCTTCTTCGGACTCCCTCTGTCCCATCCTCTGTCCCATCCTCCTTCAGCTCCAGCTAGTGCGCTTCCCTGGGGCTCCTCTTACTCGATTTCCTTTCTCCAAGACCTGATCTCCACCTGCCCCTGCCCAACTATGGAAACCTGCAAATGTGCCAGAGGTTTAAAGCGGTCCACAAGTTGGTCCCTCTCTCGCGCCCTTCTCCACCCGATCTCCCCCTAGGACGGGCCACCTCCCCACCTCCACCTCCACTCACGGTGTCACAAAGCCACACCTTGTGCTGGCATGGAAAATACATCCTACTTTCCCCTCCTGCCTGACTGCTCTGGCTGTTTGCATTCAAGAGTTCTCCGGCCTGTTGAAATCCTACGTATTCAAAACGCAGCTCAAAATCTACCCTTCCAAGAGTATC